TTGGCCGTGCTGTATTGTCCAGAAGAACTAATTTCTTCAGACTATTTGTTTGTATTTTTTAGTTCAAACAAGATCAAGGAAATTTGAACCTCCCCTTTTTAATGCTTCACTTATTACATTGAAAACTCTTCAGTGATATTGGTTTTGTAATCTCTCACACCAATTACCAAATATGGGAAATTGGCTCTCTTTGTTTGTGCAATGCATCAAATTTAGTAGCTTAAGGAGATCACTGAATTTTGTTGATAATTTTGATCTTAAACTTTGATTTTAGCATCATCAACTCATGGTGAAGCAATGGTTCTTTTCCCGTTAATATGAAATATGAAGATGTCCATCCATCCATCATTCTAAAGCTTAGAGAAAACTTAACAATTTCAGCTTAGTTTGGATATGACTTGAAACAAAGCAACCTCGTTTTGGTTTTAATTCATCTTAACAAATTAATTAAGGCAAAGCCGGCCATTGTAATCCTTAAGGTTTTATCTCTTTATGTGACGTTTAACAAGCTAAAACTATGGGGCCTGCATTGTCAATATAATGGGAATTTACCTTATCTTTGAAGCAATCATTTGTGAAAAGAAATATTCATATATATCACTCCTCCAAGGCCCACAGAAATCCAATCATGTCACACAGTTTTGTAATAAAATTGCAATGAATTTTTTACTCGAAGCTGACCTAAAGTTTCAAGAACCCTATTACATCTCCCTATAGGTGTGCTGTGGTGAAATTTGTTGTTTATGATAATGTTGGCATTTTTCTAATAGCATACATGTGGAGCTTTTGTTTTCTTCTTTTGGCTACCAATGGTGGATGGACAACTTTTGAGCTGTGTTCTCTTCAACATCACCTCATATACATAGCTTTCATAAATTGGTTAAAGTTGAATGTCATTTTAAAACTTCATCTCTGATTTGAAGGGCTAGGTAGTTTCTTCATCAGAGAGTACACAATTAAATTAATTTTGAAACTTTTGGCTGATTAGAAATTGAAGTGAATGATTAAGCAGCAAAAACTACCCTGGATTAGCAAATTATTATTGCCCTTTATCAAGCAGCATATATGATTAATCAATTCTGTCAAGTCAGAAGAATAAAATTCAAAGTTAGAAATTAAACATTTGCATGTGCATTGCTTGTATTCTCGACTTGACACTCTTTGAGTAGTCCTGCAGACAGGGGCAGAGCAGAGAAAGAGGGGGCAATGGCCCTGATTCATCTTAGGTTAAAAAAATTTGCCTCTCTTTATAAAAATTTGTTAGATGTGGTTTTATATGAGAGCCCAAATTCATTGAATTATGGTATGAACATATCAACTTCAATGTGATTTGATAATTAAAGGGTTTAGCTGTTGGTGATGATGAATAGTAGGGCAAGGGAATAAGTTTGAAACTGTCATCTTCAAGTATAAGAAAGTGTCGAGACTTGCCTAGCCTACAGGTAAAGTTTTTCCCCTTTTGTTCCCTTTTTGACAAAGGCAATATAGGTGAAGGATTCCAACTCCTGTAGCTAAAGTTAATGGAGTTGCTATTCAGTTTCCTATTGGAAAAGGTGTAGCAAATTAAAGTTCATTGCATTATATATAAATAATAACCTCTCACAATTGTACCATCATATTGGATGAAATGGATCTCTAGGCATTAGTCTCATGGCTGTATAAAAGAACCCATAAAAAATTTTCTCTCCCTCCACAACTTAAGCTGTTCTATCTTCTTAGCAAGATGGTCAAAATGACAAAGAACGCCCTTAAAATGAATCTATGTAACGACCCACTATACAGGGAGGATTAAATTGATTTCGCCAGCCTCAGCATAGTTCTCAAACTTCTAGGTTTGAACATCCGCGGACTCAACCTACTTTTAAACTAAAAAAGTTTGGGTTTTGTGGAGGGTATAGGCTAAAAATGACAAAAGTTGAGCTGGGTATTTTGATGGGGGCAGACAGACAGTGACATGAAAAGTCTATTCCCATTTGCTCTCAATTTTTAACATTGTACACATCCATCTCTGTCTCTGTCATTGTCTAAAAGCCTGGGCTTGGCAAATTGGGATCATGGGGTAGCCTTCACAGATCACTTGGAAGCCTAACTTTTCAAAAGTCTGCATCCATATTCCATTCCATTTCATGCTGTGGTGTGTGGTGATGGAGAATTTTTTACACACATTATTATATTCATTTTCACGTCTATTTATCAATCTCGCATAATTAAATATATGCCTAAATCAAAGCTACAAAAGGAATAAATTTATACATCCTTGTCTTTCATTTTAGATGTATAGATTATAGAGTAGATAAATTAAGTGGTATTTTTCATTATTTTGATATTTTTATTATATGTAACCGATACCTTTTAATGCTTTTTGAGAATCTATTCACTTAAAAGTAAATTATTCGACGACATGGCCCACTGTAATGTCGTTGTTCAACTAGAATACAATTATAAACTGCACCAGCTTGTCTTTAGTAAATAATTAATTTAATATTGGTTGAGTGGATATTATCTAAACTGGGCCAAGTGGTCCATAGTTGTTTAATGGGCACCTCCAATTCATTTGAAACATGGGCCGGCCCAGCCGCAACACCTCATTATTCAACGTGCCCAAATGTTAAGCCCAATAGGGATAGTGGTAATCTGGTCATTTAAGTAATATCCAATAAATATAAATATTTTTTATTTATTTTATGTAGTTGAAAAAGAATAATTCTAGATGGTGAGGAAATGAGTATATTTCTGTATTTTGAGAGGTAGGCTCAAATCTTCCCTTCTTTCATTATAATGTAATCTAAAAAATTACATGGATTTATTTTCTTTTTATTTTTGACAAAATTTGTGATGATTTAGATTACGAGGGGGAGTTACAAAATTTGGGAGATTGATGAAACTAGATTGAGAGGATAGCGATTTTACAGGCAGCGCAATCTTCGCAGAGCTGTCGTTTTGGTTGCATGTGCTCCTAATCCCCATATCTGTTCCAAAAATAAATAAATAAATAAATAATAATAATAATAATATTCTAAAATAATAATAATAACTCCGGGTTCTATCTTATCATATGTGATAAGTCCCCATTTCTCCTCCCTCTCAATACAACGCTAAATTACAAGTTTAGCCTCATAACCCTTTAGGTTGTATTTAATGAGTTTACGGGGATTAAAAAGTGTTTATAGGTTATTTTCTATCTAATAGGTATCTAATAATAATAATAACTCCTCATTATATCATATCAAATCTATAAACTTTCGATTATGTGTTTGTCATATTCGACGTCTAAAAAAAAAAAAACTCACATACCTATGAAACATAAAATTAATTTTTTTGTTATTTTTTCTTTGTTTGAGAATGATTTTTTTGTCTAGTAAAATATTAACTTTTTAATTTTATGTCTAATAGATTTGTGATTTTTTTTCCAAAAAAATATCAAATATGACAGCAACCTATTAAACTATAAATTTCAAGGGAATATTTTTAAATATGCTTTTTTAAGCAAAAATAACCATATTTAGATTTATTGTATGCTTTTAGGTATGTTTGACTTTTATAATCAAGGTCAAATATTTCCTATGTTCTTATCTAATTCTTGTGATGTGTACATATGAACACACGTCTAACATAATTCATTTTCTTAAAAGTTAGAGGTTCAAATCTCTTAAACTTTTTTAGGACATATTCAATATAAGTACATCTAATCAATTGAATAAGGCATCATTTACCTTTTTGATCTCAAAAGTTTAAAATTTTCTCCCTTTTGTTGAACTCAAAAAAAAAAAATGAAAAAATGAAAAAAAATCTGGATGTGACAAATGGAAAAAATGGTTTTAAACACTTTTGTTATACATTTTGAAATTGTGGTTTTAGAATAAATATTTAAGTCAATATCCTAATTTGGGCCTAATGGGTTTGTTGAAGACAATACTTTTGGAGGATCCAAGCCCACATCTCTCTGCCAAATTTAATTTCAACTTGTACTAAACTCAAATAATAATAAAAGCATAGTAGTATTGTATAATTGAAATTTGTCTTTAATGCTCATCCAATTATAATGACTTGAAAACCAATTCTCGCTGATCTCAAGAATTTAAGTTGTTTGTTTAATAATTAAAATGTGTAAATATCGAGGCATTTTTGTAATCTATAATGAGGACAACTGAATTTTACCTTGGGGTAACAATATTCTATTAACA